ACACAGTTACAATCATTGGTGAACAATAAAATACACTGCAATATAACACGCCAAAGATGTATCTCTGAGACGTGTATCACTGCGGCAAGACCAACGAGTATGGATGAGTGAGTGAGTGAGTGAGTTGAGTTTAACGCCGCTTTTAACAGTATTCCAGTTATATCACAGCGTGTCAGCTTAATGTGGGAGGAAAGCCCGAAGTGATGCAGGTCTCGGACGTGTACCACTTCGGTGAAACCCACGAGCACGAGTATGGTGCTGACAAACCTAGAAACATAATCGGGGCGAACCGGGATTCGAACCCACAATCATAGGTTTCTGGCATGCCCAATGGACGCAACTCTGCACAGCGAATCGCGGCGCCTTAGATGACTGGGCGACCCGTGCCCCCTACCCCGCGTGGGAGGAATAAACCTATAACAACGCTAGAAATACGGTACCAAAGTTCTACACAGTCACCCAAATCGGTAGCCTTGCTCCAAGGCTGTACTGAAAAAAAAGCCCATGGATGTGTAGTAATTCTATCCTCTTAATAGGCATGTCTAGATATGGGGATAGTACAATGACTCCAGTCCCAACTTGTTTTTATTATATACATAATCTAGGATTATGATTTAACTCATAAGTATTGCATTAGAAACTTTTGCATGTCTACCAATTCGGTTTAAAGCGGATATGAGTGCATGAGGATTACTCCACGCCGTCGGGGTTCGAACACACAACAATGCAGCCAGGCCAAGACTGGTCAGTCCGATGTGTTATCAGCGCATCCCTACACTCGGAAGGCGGGAACGTTTTGTGGCCAAATGTGAAATTAATTATTGTTCATAAACAAACTTGGTAGAAGAAGTCCTCGGTACAAACCCGTATCTCATCCTTGTCCTGTTTCCCGAAGCTGGTGATAAAATGCATTTTTTTTTAACTCTCTACCTTTGTGATCCAGCAACTCAAGTCGTTTTCAGTACACAATTAAACCTTCTAGTTGTTTTATAAAAGCGATCCCTTGTAACTAAACCGTCATATAATACCCATACTTGAACATAGCACAGCAATAACTGCCGCGCTGAGGTCGCTCTGTACAAGTGGCCCTGAGATCCCATTCCACTAACTACGACAACGTCGTCAGTATCATATAGCAAGTCGAAGCCACTAACATTGTCCTGGGCCCACTTGCACAAAGCGATCTTAGACCCATGAAGATCCGGGGTAGAATAGGTCTTCAGCAACCCATGCTTGCCATAAAAGGCGACTATGCTTGTCGTAAAAGGCGACTAACGGGATCGGTTGGTCAGGCTCGCTGACTTGGTTGATGCAGGTCATCGATCCCAATTGCGTGGATCGATGCTCATGATATCAATCACTGGATTGTCTGTCATATAGCTGTAATATTGCTGAGTGCGGCGTAAAACAACAAACAAACAAACCAACCAACCAAAGCGATCTTAGCGCTACACCTATTGTAAGCCAATGTTAAAATATGAGAGTTACGATCATCTTAGTGCTAACGTCGCTTTGTGCAAGTGGGCCCTGGCTTACGTGTACGTGGTGTAAATCCGACTCCAGACCTCGGTGTCGTTGTACAAAACAACCCTAGCCCCACGACTGTCGTAAGACTATGTTAAAGTATCGGAGTTACGAACACCTTAGTGCTAAGATCGCTTTGTACAATGGCAACCTGGCCCTGTTTCACAAACATTTTAACTTAACGCAACACTCATATCGTATCTCATATACGTTTATATATGATAATATCATGAATGACATATGATTGAACATTAGGTAAAACCAGCTAAAATAAAAATACTGCAATGAAAATTATGAATTTTACAATATGCGAACTGCACATAAAATCAGATCACCGAAGGCAGTTCACATAAACTCTTGAAATAAAACCAGGAAGCTGCGGCATTATATGCTCACCGCCAAAAGAAACACGAACCATAGAAACATGTGGAGAAGAATGTATGCTAAGAAGATACCTAACGTATCTAACGTATACCTCTTATGTTAATGACAAAACTAATCAAGTGCAAACACAGAATGTCTTCATTCTTGTCACGACACGCTGCACGTGATTTCCAAACTTTACACGCTAATCCAGCACCAGACACATGGTGGATCCATGACGTCACATGTGATGCGTTCTTGAGCGTCGTTTCACACAACATACCAGTATGTTCGTTTGTGCATTGAGCCAATCTAATGTCTCTTGAATATTAGCAATTTTTCATATATTAACCAACATGTATGGTATTCGCCTTTCTTTTGTCGGTGAGTATACATGTATATGTAGAAGTCAGTGTTGTATTCGCCTTTCTTTTGTCGGTGAGTATACATGTATATGTAGAAGTCAGTGTTGTATTCGCCTTTCTTTTGTCGGTGAGTATACATGTATATGTAGAAGTCAGTGTTGTATTCGCCTTTCTTTTGTCGGTGAGTATACATGTATATGTAGAAGTCAGTGTTGTATTCGCCTTTCTTTTGTCGGTGAGTATACATGTATATGTAGAAGTCAGTGTTGTATTTGTCTTTACCGTCCCGCATACCGCGCCCGCCTGTACTACTTATCACGACGGAAGCTGACCTCGGTGTATGTCATAACAGGCGGTACCCAGGGTATAAGGCTGTGGTAATGGCTGTAATACCGTGTACGTCAGTGCCAACTCCGACGATGCTGAACGTGTGACAGGTCCCGTCCCGCCCTTTCAATCATTCGCTCCCTCGCGCAACCACTCCACTGTCAACGCTCAACCATCCCACCCGAGCATTGATCGACGTCGTCACTCACTCGTCCACTCCACTCACTCCCTCACTCGTTCCACCCATTCCCTCATCCACTCCACCAACTCTCCCATCCGCTCCACACACTCTCCCATCCGCTCCACCCACTCTCCCATCCGCTCCACCCACTCTCCCATCCGCTCCACCAACTCTCCCATCCGCTCCACCAACTCTCCCATCCGCTCCAGCCACTCTCCCATCCGCTCCACCCACTCTCTCATCCCCTCCACCCACTCTCTCATCCCCTCCACCCACTCTCTCATCCCCTCCACCCACTCTCCCATCCGCTCCACCCACTCTCCCATCCGCTCCACCCAATCTCTCACCCGCTCCACCCACTCTCTCATCCCCTCCACCCACTCTCCCATCCGCTCCACCCACTCTCCCATCCGCTCCACCCACTCTCTCATCCCCTCCACCCACTCTCCCATCCGCTCCACCCACTCTCCCATCCGCTCCACCAACTCTCTCATCCCCTCCACCCACTCTCCCATCCGCTCCACCCACTCTCTCATCCCCTCCACCCACTCTCCCATCCGCTCCACCCACTCTCCCATCCGCTCCACCCACTCTCTCATCCCCTCCACCCACTCTCTCATCCCCTCCACCCACTCTCTCATCCCCTCCACCCACTCTCCCATCCGCTCCATCCACTCTCTCATCCCCTCCACCCACTCTCCCATCCGCTCCATCCACTCTCTCATCCCCTCCACCCACTCTCTCATCCCCTCCACCCACTCTCCCATCCGCTCCATCCACTCTCTCATCCCCTCCACCCACTCTCCCATCCGCTCCACCAACTCTCACATCCCCTCCACCCACTCTCACATCCACTCCATCCACTCTCACATCCGCTCCACCAACTCTCACATCCGCTCCACCCACTCTCACATCCGCTCCACCTACTCTCACGTCAGCTCCATCCACTCTCTCATCCGCTCCACCAACTCTCACATCCGCTCCACCAACTCTCCCATCCGCTCCACCCACTCTCCCATCCGCTCCACCAACTCTCACGTCAGCTCCATCCACTCTCTCATCCGCTCCACCAACTCTCACATCCGCTCCACCAACTCTCACATCCGCTCCACCAACTCTCACATCCGCTCCACCCACTCTCCCATCCGCTCCACCAACTCTCACGTCAGCTCCATCCACTCTCACATCCGCTCCACCAACTCTCACGTCAGCTCCATCCACTCTCTCATCCGCTCCACCAACTCTCACATTCACTCCACCAACTCTCACATCCGCTCCACCAACTCTCACGTCAGCTCCATCCACTCTCTCATCCGCTCCACCAACTCTCCCATCCGCTCCACCCACTCTCACATCCGCTCCACCCACTCTCTCACCTACTCCACCAACTATCTCAGCCGCTCCATCGACAGTCTCACATTCACTCCACACACACTCTCATTCGCTCAACCAACTTTTTCATCTGCTCCACCCACTCTCCCATCCGCGCCACCCACTCTCTCACGTACTCCAACCACTTTCCTATCCGCTCCACCCACTCTCCCATCCTCTCCACCCACTATCTCATCCGCTCCATCGACACTCTCACATCCGCTCCACACCCACTCTCATCCGCTCCACCCACTCTCCCATCGTCTCCACCCACTCTCTCATCCGCTCCATCCACTCTCACATCCGCTCCACCCACTCTCACATCCGCTCCACCCACTCTCTCACCCGCTCCACCAACTATATCAGCCGCTCCATCGACACTCTCACATTCACTCCACACACAATCTCATTCGCTCCACAAACTTTTCATCTGCTCCACCCACTCTCACATCCGATCCACCCACTCTCTCATCCGCTCAGCCAATTCTCTCACCCGCTCCACCAACTCTCTCATCCCCTGCAGACACTCTCACGTCAGCTCCATCCACTCTCACACCAGCTCCATCCACTCTCACATCAGCTCCATCCGCTCTCTCATCCGCCCCATCCACTCTCACATCCGCTCATCCCACTCTCACATCAGCTCTATCCACTCTCTCATCCGCTCCATCCACTCTCACATCCGCGCCACACACTCTCACATCCGCTCCACCCACTCTCTCATCCGCTCCACCCACCCTCACATCCGCTCCACTCACTCTCACATCCGCTCGTCTCACTCTCACATCCGCTCCACCCACTCTCTCATCCGCTCTACTCACTCTCTCATCAGCTCCACCCACTCTCACATCCGCTCCACCCACTCTCACATGCGCTTCACCCACTCTCAAATCCGCTCCACCCACTCTCTCATCCGCTCTACCACTCACTCTCTCATCCGCTCCACCCACTCTCTCATCCGCTCTACCACTCACTCTCTCATCCGCTCCACCCACTCTCTCATCCGCTCCACCACTCACTCTCTCATCCGCTCCAGACACTCTCTCATCCGCTCCACCACTCACTCTCTCATCCGCTCCAGACACTCTCTCATCCGCTCCACCACTCACTCTCTCATCCGCTCCAGACGCTCTCTCATCCGCTCCACCACTCACTCTCTCATCCGCTCCAGACACTCTCTCATCCGCTCCACCACTCACTCTCTCATTCGCTCCAGACACTCTCACATCCGCTCCACCACTCACTCTCACATCCGCTCCACCACTCACTCTCACATCCGCTCCACCCACTCTCTCATCCGCTCCACCACTCACTCTCACATCCGCTCCACCCACTCTCTCATCCGCTGCGTCTACCAACCCTCCAACCACCCTCTCACCCGCTGTGCCACCCACCCTCTCACCCGCTGCGTCCACCCACCCTCCACCCACCCTCTCACTCGATGCGTCCACCCACCCTCAAACCACCCTCTCACCCGCTGCGTCCACCAACCCTCCAACCACCCTCTCACCCGCTGCGTCCACAAACCCTCCAACCACCCTCTCACCCGCTGCGTCCACCCACCCTCCAACCACCCTCTCACCCGCTGCGTCCACCCACCCTCCAACCACCCTCTCACCCGCTGCGTCCACAAACCCTCCAACCACCCTCTCACCCGCTGCGTCCACCCCCCTCCAACCACCCTCTCACCCGCTGCGTCCACCCACCCTCCAACCACCCTCTCACCCGCTGCGTCCACAAACCCTCCAACCACCCTCTCACCCTCTGCGTCCACCCCCCTCCAACCACCCTCTCACCCGCTGCGTCCACCCACCCTCCAACCACCCTCTCACCCGCTGCGTCCACAAACCCTCCAACCACCCTCTCACCCGCTGCGTCCACAAACCCTCCAACCACCCTCTCACCCGCTGCGTCCACCCACCCTCCAACCACCCTCTCACCCGCTGCGTCCACCCACCCTCCAACCACCCTCTGACCCGCTGCGTCTACCCCCCCTCCAACCACCCTCTCACCCGCTGCGTCCACCCACCCTCCAACCACCCTCTCACCCGCTGCGTCCACCCACCCTCCAACCACCCTCTCACCCGCTGCGTCCACCCACCCTCCAACCACCCTCTCACCCGCTGCGTCCAACCACCCTCCAACCACCCTCTCACCCGCTGCGTCCACCCCCCTCCAACCACCCTCTCACCCGCTGCGTCCACCCACCCTCCAACCACCTTCTCACCCGCTGCGTCCACCTCCCCTCCAACCACCCTCTCACCCGCTGCGTCCAACCACCCTCCAACCACCCTCTCACCCGCTGCGTCCACCCCCCTCCAACCACCCTCTCACCCGCTGCGTCCACCCCCCTCCAACCACCCTCTCACCCGCTGCGTCCAAGATGGTGAAGACACTACCCGATATGCTGATAGCGAGTACATAACGAGTTTAACGAAAATAAGAATACTGTCGAAATTCCCCATAACTTGCGTTGCCTCCAGGTGAGGTATGGGATATGAGAAAGATATATTGTATGTCTTAATGCTGGGTCGGCAGTCCTTCCATATTCACTGACAGTCAGTTTACTGATGATATGCTCGTGTGGAGGTGTCCTGCCAGATAAGTTTTCTCAGTAAACACCCCACATACCACGGAACCTATACTGCACCGGAAAACAGCTATACCACACATACTGCAACTTTAATTCTACTGATAAAATAAATTTGATTAATTGTAGAGACGCTGGGCCTGTCTGAATCCACGCAGGATATGCCAGATTCCGAGAGACTTAATCATACGAATACACATCTGAGTAGAACCGACTCGGCATGACGTAATGCTCTAACATATCACAGAACGAGTGGGCGTGTCTTCAAGCAACTGACACACCTCCGCCGAAAGACCCGCCCCTACAGGCCCGTCTGTTCAGGTATCGCTGAGCAACGGTGGTGAGAGTGTGTCGTTGGTAGCGTAGCCGTCTCCCACAAGCCCCATTTACATTACACTTCAATTCGATAAAAATGAATTTAGCTAGCAGGGTTAAAAATCATAACTACCAGTTCATTAGAACCGTGGTTATCATATATGCTTACGTGCATTTTCGTCAAGAAAGAAAAAAAGACGTGAATGGCATTTCTATTACTGCTTGAACGAAGAAGCGTTCGTGTTTTTTAAGTGGAAACAACAATTTAGCAGAACAAATACAGCGTCTGTTTCAATGAGAGTAAGTTAGAAAGAGATGTTGATGGCTATTAGCGTCACATATATAACTGTCGCGAAAACTGCAAATAACGAGTGAGTTGGGTTTTGCGCTGTTTTCAGCAATATTACATCTACGTATAGAGGGGGGAGGGGGGACTAAATAGGATTAACAGTAACATAGTAAATAGAACCCGAGTCAAGGTTTCACTACTAGGCTACCCCGCTGCAGTAATCAGTACAAAGCTAATGCCTTGAGGATGAATATGAACACGGGGATGATATTCGTTTGTTTTGTTTTGTTTTCTACGTTGCGTAACGCCGCTCTCAACAATATTCCAGTTCTCCGAAGGCGGTCTGTAAATAATCATTTCTGTGCCAGACAATCCACTGATTGACATCATGAGCATTAATCATCGATGTACGATACGATGACAAGTCAGCGAGCCTGACTATCTGATCCCGTTAGTCGCCTCTTACGACAGGCATGGGTTGCAGAAGAACAATTCTAACCCGGATCTTCACGGAGGATGACAGGAGTTGCTATGAGGACATAACAAATTAAATTATTAGATTTTCATCTCCGCCCGCTTCCCTACACCATATGACCCGTGGAGATTCCGGGGTAGAGTAGGTCTTCAGCAACCCATGCTTGTCGTAAAAGGTGACTATGCTTGTCGTAAGAGGCGACTAACAGGATCGGGTGGTCAGGCTAGCTGACTTGGTTGATGCATGTCATCGATCCTAATTGCGTGGATCGATGCTCATGATATTAATCACTGGATTGTCTGGTCCAGACTCGATTATTTACAGACCGCCGTCATATAGCTGGAATATTGCTGAGTGCGGCGTTAAACAATAAAACCAACCAACCCTACACCACATATTATTCCCAAATGCCTACAGAAGAAGAAAATCCTGAACGTGTCCTCTTCTCTCTACACTTGATGAAATACATCACATACTATCCAAAATGCATAATTCATGTGAATCACATCCGTTACTACCCAGAGATGCCATGACCAATTTTAAAAATATATGTGATTAAAATGAAATACATCCCGCCTCACATTTTCTAAATATTGGGATTAAAATCTAATTAATTCATTGTGGCCTTATATAGCTAATACTGTATTGTAAGACAAATCGATTGTCAAAGTTTGAAAGTTTGAAAGTGACTGACAAATTATTGAGCGGTCGACCCGGGGCTGCAACGCTCCCCTGGCATGCACTGTACGAATGACGTCTTAAATAGCTGCATTGCCACATAACAAATTATATAAAAATCGTACTTGTTGAAGTGTCAGAATCATGCATCTTACAGAATATTATTCAAACATTTGACAACAGAACAAAAATGGGAACGCGTTGATGTAGAAACCTCAATGATAAACGCTTTCTAGACATAACATCACAGCTGATTAATCGAGACCTGTTGACTGACGGCTTGATACAAGCTTTGAAGTGTAGCAGATAATTGTAGGAAGATTAATGTTTTCAAGTTCATCATTAGGAAAATTGAAGTGGGAATTGTCGTTTTCTATAACGGCAAATTACTTGATTGCCAGCAGTTCGTTTTAACTTAAGTAAATTGAGCACTAAATGCCTCGCATATGAGATATTAATGTTGCGTATTGGAGCTGTTGATCTGTAATCGACATTATTAATATCAATTATGAATTAAGCTAAAATAAGTTTGAAATAAGCGTTAGGCGGTTCATGCTCAGATTATGTAAATATTATTTTATTCGATCGAAGAAATTGCTTTAGAACATGGCAGCGTAAGGGGTGGCTTGAAACGAGAATCTAAGTTCACTATAATCTGATATGCACTATTTCCACTGAGCCTGTGAGAACGTGTAAAGTTGGGAATATGTAGGACCCTGTTTCAAAAATCGGCCGTAGCACTACGACTGTCGTAAGTCAGTGTATAGTATAGGAGTCACGATAGACGTACGTACGTGAGTTGGGTTGGACGCCGCTCAGAGCAGTTTATAATACAGTCCGACCAATCTCATGGGGGTCCATCCTCCAGCCCCTCACAATGCAAGTCAGAGAAGGGTGAGTGGGTATGGTTTTACGCCGCTTTTAGCAATATTCCAGCAATATCACGGCGGAGGACACCAGAAATGGGCTTCACACATTGTACCCATGGCGGGAATCGAACCCGGGTCTTCGGCGTGACGAGCGAACGCTTTAAACCACTAGGCTACCCGACCGCCCCAGTCGGAGAAAGGCTACACGAAGGTAGTGAGAAAGTAAGCTTGGTTTGACGCCGCTTTGAGCTGTTGTTTTTTAACATTGCGGCGTTTCTGCTTATTGTGCGGTGGAAACGACGCCTATGTGTGGTACTGATGGCTTGTTTGCACGCAATATGGTGCTGATAAATCAAGGATCATAATTATAGTACTTACGACTAGCGGGTCCTGTCAGGACAAAGGGGCGCAACTTACTTAACATTTTCTAGACTAAACATTGTTATAGGTGATCAGGTATACTAAAGGTAAACTGGACAACGCTAGCGTGACATCACGAACCAAGTCAGCGTGCCTGACCACCCGATCCCGTTCGTCACCTCTTACAAGCGTGGGTTGCTGAAGACCAATTCTAACCCGGATCTTTACTCGGGGTGCAGATGGTTTAGTACATGAAAGTAATTATTATCATCATACAAAGTTTTAGCATGACTACTCCGGTATTCTTAACATTCATATTTTATTTTCAATTCTGCAAGAGAGAATCTAAACCACATCTTAATCTACATCCTTGAGCCTTTTTGTGAAGATGATGTTGTTTTTAAAAAGTTTCATCGGGTGGTCAGGTTCGCTGACTTGGTTGGTGCATGTCATCGTATGCCAATTGCGTAGATCGATGCTCACGATATCAATCACTGGATTATCTGGTCCAGACTCGATTTTTTACAGACCGCCGTCATTGAGCTGTAATATTGCTGAGTGCGGCGTTAAACAACACACAAACTAACATCAGTGAGTAACATCGTTTACGTTAACGGGGACTTATTGATACGTGTGTGTGCGTGTGTGTGTGTGTGTGTGTGTGTGTGTGTGTGTGTGTGTGTGTGTGTGTGTGTTTTTGTGTGTGTGTGTGTGTTTGTGTGTGTGTGTGTGTGTGTGTTTTTTGTGTGTGTGTGTGTGCGTGTGTGTGTGTTTTGTGTGTGCGTGTGTGTGTGTGTGTTATTGTGTGTGTGTTATTGTGTGTGTGTTATTGTGTGTGTGTGCGTGTGTGTGCGTGTGTGTTTGTTTGTGTGTGTGTGTGTGTTTTTTGTGTGTGTTTGTGTGTGTGTGTGTTTTGTGTGTGTGTGTGTTTTTTTTTTTGTGTGTGTGTGTTTTTGTGTGTGTGTGCGTGCGTGTGTGTGTGTTTTTTTTGTGTGTGTGCGTGCGTGTGTATGTGTGTTTTTGTGTGTGTGTGTGTGTGTGTGTGCGTGTGTGTGTTGTTTTTTTTTTGTGTGCGTGTGTGTGTGTGTGTGTGTGCGTGTGTTTGTGTGTGTGTGTTTGTGTGTGTGTGCGTGTGTGTGTGTGTTTGTGCGTGCGTGCGTGCGTGCGTGCGTGTGTGTGTGGGTGTGTGTGTGTGTAATCTCCGATTCATCCGCGTACGTATATATATATAATATATAGATATACACGTGTTTTTCTTCACCAATCCACTTCCCAAATGAACAGATTACGAGCTACCTTAAATGGAATCAAGAGAGTAGTACACCATACAATACCAACTGATATCAACTACAGGTAGAACACTAATGTACAATACTTTTACTGGCGTCGCGTTTTCCTGATTTTAATAATTGACAATTAAATCTAACCTAAGTACAGAGAATGTCAACATTTGGATCATTTACACTTAAATTAATTTCTGTAAACAGTGTATCACACAAACCAAACGTGGCGACATTGCATCGATTTTGCAAAAAAAACATCTATTATAATAAAAGAAACCAAAAAACGTTGCTTGGTGTGCTTAAAGAGATGTCTTTAACGCTAAACTATTTAATTTTTAATAATTTCGATATCATCACAATTTTCGCACAAAATATGAACAAGACGTAATTTATTAAATATCCTTTGAAAACTTTCGTGATATGTTTTTCCCCCTAAAAACATCAAGCATCAGTTTGTCAACAGCGAAATAGTAAATGTAACAGTTATTTTGAAAAAATAATGAAAATTGATAATTGAAAAAAATATGGCGT